CTCAGCTCCAGTGTGGCAACCTCAAAATGGCCTCGGTCAGGTCAGATTCAGGGTTGACACAGGGGTGTTGTCTGCAGCTGACAAGTGGAGCATGTCCTCCTCACCAACTCCTTTAGATAGTCTTCATTACCAGGTTGAAGTAAGCTTGATGAGACCTTGTGTGGAAAAGGTCCCTGCTCTGCCTGGTCAGAAGCAATTTCACTTGGTCACCTGGAAGTTCTTGCATCATGATTCAGAACAGTGTTTCTCAACTTTAGCACCTTTAAGATGTGTGGACTTCAACTCTCATAGCTGGCTGGGGAATTCTGGGAGTTGAACTCCACCCGTCTTAAAATTGAAATCCGGGCGTTGGGAGTCCACACATCTTGAAGTCCACACATCTTGAAGTTGCTAAGGCTGACAACCCCTGATTTAGAGTGAAGTGAAACCCTACTTTTCCCCATATTATCGTGCATCTTTTCATAAAACTGGGACTCCTGTCACTATTTCAGTCACCTCCACCCATCACCTAGATCTTTTTAGGACCACCCCAGTTGAAACCTACTGCAAGAATGAGCCGAGGTGGCGCAGTGGTTAGAGTGCAGTACTGCAGCTACTTCAGCTGACTGCTAGTTCAGCAGATCAGCAGATCAAATCTCACCGGCTCAAGGTTGACTCAGCCTTCCATCCTTCCGAAGTGGGTAAAACGAGGACCCAGATTGTTGGGTGAAATATGCTATTTAGTATACTGTCGATTGTTGTAAGCTGCCCAGAGTCCTCGGAGAGTGGGCGGCATAAAAATATGATTAATAAATAAATAATTAATAAATAAATAAACTGATCCTTCTCAAATCTTCAAGGGCATTAGATTGTGTTTATGGACCACCCTCAGCCAGGGGTTGATTATGGCTCAAGGAACCTTAATCCAAGTGGCTTCCTTCACATAAGGCGCTATGCTCCAAGCAATCCACATATTGTCCTTGTGTTATGGGTGAACCATAAAGAGGGAGGGAGGGAGGGACGGAGGGGAGATTAAACTGCCACAAGGATTAATGGAATGCTTCTGTTTCTTAACACTTAGAAAAAAATCGGTGTAAATATGTATGTCTCTATATTAGCTGGAGTCATGTATCACCCTCATGTGCCTCACAACATTCCTTCCTCTTCTATAGGCAACGACTTCATCATCCCCATGCAATGTCCAGAACTTGAAATTGCCCGAGTGGCAATCAGGATTCTGGACGAGCTGGTGAAGCCCTTACGGGAAATTCAGATCGACGAGAATGAATATGCCTGTCTTAAAGCCATAGTTTTTTTTGATCCAGGTATTATTTTATTCTTCACATCGTCCAGAGTTTGATAGGGAAAAAAAAAAACCTTTGGTTACAAGGATGATAGGAATTGACAGGAGAATGTCTATGGAGATTCATGGTTGTCCCAAAGGTGCTTTTTCAAGAGACAACTGGATTTTCTTTGTTTTTCCTTGAAGATGTTTCGCTTCTCATCCGAGAACCTTCTTCGGTTCAGTTCCTCAAAACTGAAGAAGCTTCTTGGATGAGAAGCAAAGTGTCTTCAAGGAAAAACAAAGAAAAGTCCAGTTGCCTCTTGAAAAAGCACCTTTGGGACAATTGATAGGACAAGCTTCCAATGGGTATCTTGGCTTCTTTTAGCTTTCCTGGACCTTCCACTATTGTCTTAAAACCTACCTACGTCCTGAACCAAAGCTAATTTTCTATTGCTTTTGCTTCACCTGATAATTTCCTTTCTCGGTCATGCTCCCACCGTAAGCATGACTGACAACATTTGCTCACCTTTATTTCCATCTGCCTTATTTCTCTCCTTCCTACTTGTCCCAGATTGCAAAGGGCTGAGCGACCCAGGGAAAGTCAAGAACATGCGTTTCCAAGTCCAAGTGAACCTGGAGGATTACATCAATGACCGGCAATATGATTCCCGGGGAAGGTTCAGCGACATCCTCCTACTGCTCCCTCCGCTGCAGAGCATCACTTGGCAGATGATAGAGCAAGTTCAGTTCATCAAACTCTTCGGCATGGCCAGGATTGACAGCTTGTTGCAAGAAATGCTCCTTGGAGGTACAACATGGGTGGTGATGTGAAGGGGCCTGGATTAGATGTGAAGGGACCTGGATTAGGAGCAAGGAGACCCAAGTTCTGCTCCTCCTTCAGGAAGGAACCTCTGAGGAACCTCTAGGTTGTCCCTCTCGTACAGCCCAACCTACCCCAAAAGGTGGTGGTTGTGGAGAAAACACAACCATGGATGCTCCATCAGTGGTGGGTTCCAACTGGTGTTACCACCGGTTCTCTTCGCTCACATGCTTTGTGTGCGATCGCTACGCCAAACTTGCTCTCTGTGCAAGCACGTTAGGTTTCTGCCCAGCTGAGGTGCGGCAATCCACTCTGCCGCGCCTATCAGCTGGGCTAAAAAACAAGAAATAAAGGTAGGAATAAAGCGGGGGTGGGTGGGAGGGCCCAGCTCCTAGTCAAAGAGAACCAGTTCGGTGATGTCACATTGTCACCACTACCGGCTCAGCCGAACCGGGCTGAACCAGGAGCAACCCACCACTGTGCTCCATTTACCATCTCAACCTGCTGAAAGAAAAATGGGATAACAAAACTGGGAGACAGAGAAAGTAGCTTTGGGGTTAGGTCTACACAATATCTTTACCCAGCAGTTCCTTTCACCTATCTTTGCTTGGCTTGGCAAGTTTTAACCTTGTTAAAAATACTCCCAAGGGCATTCCGATGGATTTTGGAATCGGAAAAAAAAAAAAAAAGAGCTAGAACAAAGTTGAATTGGCGATTATGGGGAAAAAAGGTTTGTTAATATGGCTTCCTTACACAGTAAGAAAATTCTTTAAATCCCAAAATAATTATACAGGAGCAAGAGAGTCCAAATTGCCCCCCAATCCATTGCTTTTGTGGAAGGCTTGGGGGGGTTCATTTTAGAACTGTTTTTGTTTGAAGGGATGATGAACCAAATGGCCATATAACAGAGGTCTCCAAGCTTGGCAATTTTAAGACTTGTGAACTTCTTGAATTCCTCAGACAGCTGTGCTAGCTGAGGAATTCTGGGAGTTGAAGTCCACAAGTCTTAAAAGTTGTCAAGCTTGGACACCCCCTGCCCTATAACACAAACAAACGAAACTGTGTGGTGCAGACTCCATTTCTATTAAATTTCTTTAAGAAAACTACCAACGTGTTAAATGGCTTGGAATTCAACAAAGACTGAACGTAGTTCTTTCTCTGCCCCGTGAGACTTATTAGAGAACGGAAAATGGCTGGGGGGGGGTCAGAATTTGGGGGTGCTGTCATCTGTTGAAAACTAAAAGGCAATGCCAGGAGGATTCAATGTTCTTTGCTTCTACTGTAGTTTGACTTCTGTGAAGATTCTTCAAGGGGAACAGACTCCAAGATAGACCATTTTCTTTCATGTCACTTGACATAGTTTGAAAGGCAGAGGAATGTGGACATCCAGAATTAAAATCAGACTGCTATCTGGGGGTTTGTTCATTGAATATGATTGGACTGAGATGGCTTTCTTTTTGTGCAGGAACAAGCATGGATATGCCCCAATACCAGCCAGGCCCTTCCAGCCATAATATGGAGCATCTTCCAAGTCACATCGTGCTGCCTAGCACAATTGGCTCAGTCATTCACACCATTTCAGTCTGTAGGTACCCAGTTTCTCAATGCTTCAACTAGAAAATTGTAGTTGAACCTTGACCATTGACCCAAAGGATACAAATGTTTGGAATGACCAGAATGGGTGGGTGATACTGATTGGATGAAAGGGTGGTGATGAAGTAGACTGGCAGGAAGACAGTAGATAAGGAGTGGATCCACTGAGGAATGGGATTTACAAAACATATCATGAAGGACTTTTTCAAGGTCCAGAACAAACTGGTCAAGAAGACAAATCATGGCTGCGTATGCTCACATACATGAGAAGTAATTTTCATGTTCATCTTTTCTTCTACAGCTTCACCAGAAACTTCGCTCCCTTCTCCTTCCACCAGCACAGGAAGTGAAGATTACAAATTGGGTCACACCCCTGGATCTGAAATCCCAACAACCCTTTTGCCCCAGGTGGTCATCCCCAAACAAGAGATCCTCTAGGAAATCCACTCTTATTTTTTTAGTTGCCCCTTTTTGAATTCAACAAGCTTTGCTCCCATGACAGCAGCCAACATTGCTAGGTGTCTCACCCAACAAAATCACCTTGCATGTCACTTGAGTCCTTCCCAAGAAAACATCCCACAATGTTATTAGCATAACAGGTGTTAACTATCATATAAAACATTGGCAGTTAAGTGGTTTATTTTCTGTTACACTCCCATCTATTGTGGTGTTGTGGAAACACAGGTCTGGTTTGGGTGGAAGAGCAAATGGAGATTACCTCCATGCAGATCTTAGAACCAGTTTGATAGCCATAGTCCAATAATAGTTCTAATTGAGAGATATACAGTACATATTATTGACATACCCCTAGGATTTAATCTAAATTTTTGAAATTCCTCTTACCATTTGTAAAAAATGTTGGAACAAAATAAATTGTACTTAAAATAAAAGTCTTCAAGCAATATATCCAATATACCATTTTTACCAGGTTTTCTTAAACACCTCCAGTGATGAAGCACCTACAACTTCTGAAGGCAAGCTGTTCCACTGATTAATTGTTCTCACTGTTAGGAAGTTTCTCAATTCCAGGCTGCCTCTCTCCTTGATTAGTTTCCATCTACTGTTTCTTTTCCTGCCCTCAGTTGCTTTGGAAAAAAAAGCTGACCCCCCCCCCCCCCCCTGGTTCTTTGTGGCAGCCCCTCAAATATTAGAACACTGCTACCATGTCATCCATAAATCAACCCATATTCTCTCTCCTGGTGGGCTCCATCAATGATTTTGTGGTCAGAGACAGACACGTATGAACCTGGGGACTTTGTGCTCTCTTCCCTTGGAGCAATGTCTCCACACCCATAGAGTAAATCAAATCTGCCATTTGCCTGGTGCTAGTCAACAAAGCTCCAATCAGTTAACTTTATTCCACATTTTTATATAAAAAAAATTACAACAGAACGAGGATCAGAAAACCAAGGAACTTCATTTCCATCCATTCCACACACATATTTGCTAAATCAGAAGACATAATCAGATGTTTAAACATGATCTGCTGAGTTTCAGAAGGACAGTCCCACCAGAGGCGGCCTATATATGAGTGAGGTCCTTAAAGGTAGATATACCTAATTCTCAAACGGTAGAACTGAAACCACAATGGATCTTGAACTGGCTCCTTTTTTCACCTTTCTATCTTGTGTTGCATTTTCTTCCATGGGCGGTTTCCTCCAGGATTAACTTCAAAGTAAGACTGAACTGCCTACATTGTGTTTATATGACCAAGAAGAGTTTGCTAAGATGTACCAAGCGCTCCGTGGCTGGATTCTGTAAATGCTAAATATTTTACCCCTAACTAAGGCCCCGGTCACTTGCGATGGGCAATATTTCTTCTGCACGGCAGATGTTAAAAATGGCAGGCAGTACCAACTGATATCAGGGAAAATATTCATGGATATCTTTATAGGCTTATTAGCCTGATGTGCCTTCTTAAGAATGGAGGATTGGCGTCCTCCTTAACACCATGGTAGACATACTGGTAGACCAAGTTCTCTCAGAAAGGAGAAGAACCACTAGATTTGGCTTGCGAAAGGAGAAACACCTACATCGTCTTTAAAAACATACCGAAGGACACACCTGAGGTTTTGCCTCTCTTCTTCCTCACCTGAGTTCCATCAATTCTGTAATATTTTTAAATGCTGACATGCCCCAGGAAGGATGTTAGGAGAGGCTCTTACAATAACAGCACTCTCTTTGGACATCTCTTATAAACATGCAACCCAACTCACAAAAAAAGGTAAGGCACTATACAACAAGCAGCGAGGTGAGCCAAAGGTTGGTCTTGCCAAAATCCACGGGCAAATGAGAAGACTGGGTTTCAGGCGACGGTCATCCACAAGAACAGAGATCCAATACGAGTGATAGGAGCCAATGCCAGCTACCTTCGTCCGAAGAGTCACACTCTACGGCCTTCAACTCAAGACGACAACGTGGGTCTAAGCCCGTTACACTTACCTCTGTCTAAATGCTAAGGTAAAAAGGGGCTCCTACAGAACTTTACTCTGCTAGTTGTTGCTGACTCTATAGGGGGGGATGTTCTCATCTCCGTTTCAAGGCCATTGAGCCAGCGTTGTCCGAAGACATTTCCACAGTCATGTGGCCAACATGACATCATGGAGCTCTGTTCCCTTCCCACCGAAGTGGTACCTATTTATTTACTCGCATTCACATGCTTTCAAACTCCTAGGTTGGCAGGAGCTGGAGCGAGCTCACGTCATCATGTGGCACTCGGGTCTCGAGCCTGGGCTGCCAACTTTCCAGCTCACTAGCCCAGCGTCTTCGACCACTGAGCCACCATGCTGCCCCCCAGATTTATTTTATTTATTTTATTTAAATTTGTATACCGCCCTTCTCCTGGTGGACTCAGGGCGGTGCACAGCCAAGTAAAAAACATCCAATACAAAATTTAAAAATTTAAAAGAATTATACCCTTTGGCCAAAAATTAAGAACCTTACGACTAAAACCCATTAAACAATTAAAAAATCTAATATGCTTCATCTACACTCGGAGAACTTCACTCAAGTCAAAATCTTCTCTGAGAGGTCAACCACAGACTCGGGGGTGTCCACCCCAAGCCCTCCTTAATCCATAAACCTCGTTGTGCAAATGCAGTTCTGTTGAACTTGTATCTCAACCTTGGACACACAAGCACATTAAGCGCCAACATTCATGCGACACCTTCATCACGCGGGTATCCTCCTGCCACCCTCTGTAGATGCCCAGCTAAGGGGGTAGAAGCATGCGATGCCATTACAGAACAAAAAGAACTCATCCCTATTAGAGTTAAGAAGCTAGGTTTTTTTATATATATATAAAAAATCAGGATACACATACATACTCAAGAGTTGTACTGAGTCTTCTGGTTACAAGGAGGCTGCATGGGGAGGGGGGTGATCTCTCTCTCTCTCTTTTTTTACTTTAAGCATAATTTAAGCATAATTACCATTAGGAAACAAGTGGAATTTCACGACCGATCTGAATCCTATGTGGAGTTAAATGCCCACCTGCCTTTCGTGAGTATTTCCTTAATTGCAGCATTTTTCAACCTCTTAAGGACCTTCCCTTCTTATAATGTATCTCAACCTTGGCAACTTTTAAGACACCTGGAGCTCAACTTCCTAGAATTCCCCAGCCAGCCATGGGTCACTAAACGAATGTCAAGTCAAGGACTACCTGTAGTCTTGGGATCTAAGGCAGCTTCTTCCAAAACAAATGGACTGGCTTGAGGGACGTCTGATGGATGACCTTCCAGACTAACATCTGCTGAGCTTCAGAAGACACTCCCTTTCCAATGACCGGTTTCCTGAGTCCCTAGCACCACTTCCAGTGCTGAGGAGGGGGCGGGGGGAGAGAGAAGGACTTTTTGAAAAACCTGCCGGCCTATTTGACAACAACCCAATGCAGTGACATGAAAGAGACAACGGAGAGTTTGCCGACTTTGAGAGGTTTTGACTTCCGTTGCCTTTCTTTAAAATCCATTCTCAGCCTCCTCAAACAGCAGAGGACTTCCCTCAAATTGCGGACAAAATCAGCCATTTGACCCAAGCATCCACAAGCAGACGGTACTTGTTCATATGGTTGTTTCCTATTTAGCACTTGAACTGATACTGAACCTAAAATGGAATGATCTGGTGAGGTGAGGAAATTTTGAGACTTCACCCTGGCAAGCTTTGGGTTCTCTAGTGGGAGAATCAGAAGCCGTGTGAGATAATCACCCACCCTAACACAGCTCACGGGCCTTGTTGGGGCAAAGAGGAAAAGGACAGCATGGCTCCAGACACCAGCCTGAAAACTTTTCGTTTCGGAGATTGGGTTTGGCTAGCCGTTTCCAGCATGTCCTGTGATTGACAACGGCGTCTCATGATTGACAATGGTGTCTCATGATTGACAATGGTGGCTCCAGGAACAGTCTTTTCAAAAGAGGAGAAATCAAAGGAAAAAAAAAAAAGAGGAAACCCCACAGACTCCTAAATGAAGAGATCTGGCGAAAAATGGAAAAAAAAAAAAAAAAAAGCCTACGCAGTCCCTCTAAAATCACGTAACCGCAGTGGAGATGCTATTTGGACTTCCTCGGCGTAACTGTCCCTTTTCCCCTGGCGTTTGGTTCGTTCTGCTCAACGAAAGACAGGCGTGGCCACATTCCGCGTTCCGAGAGCGAGACGTCGGAGGTTATAAAGGTATAAAACTCTGCTTGCTACAAGCAAAATGTTTGTTCGGTTTGTTTGTTAAAAGTCCACTGGCCCCAGGTTGCGGCTTTTTTCCCGTCTTGCCCCCCCCCAATAAATACAACGAACGCCTCGTGTGGGTTTCAGCATGATTGGGCAGGCTCAGACAGAAAACTCAGGCGCTCCTTTCTTGGCCCTCATCAACAGGAGTCTCCGGATTCGGAATCCAGCGAAAGGATTTATCCACAGCAGAGACGGTTGTCCCCCAAAGACCGACTTCATCCCTTCCCAGCACAGCCTCCGTTCCCACGTGGGCTTCTCGCTCTTCAGCCTTTCGATCTCCTGCAAGTTAATGGGGGCCTTGGGTGAAACTCTGCAAACTTAGGGGTGGGGGTGGGGGGGGGTTAGCCGAGATTCAAGGTCTCAGCTGGAGTGGAGTGGAGGGGGAGAGGTTGTGAGAAAGGCAGGTCCAACTTGCAACGGAGGGTGGTGGTGATGTTGGGGAGGGGGGGAACGGCTTACCGTTTCATCGTTGCATATTGAATGGATCTGGGTGCCGAACATCACAGCAGTGAACGTCAGAAACAGAAACCCTTCAAGGCACAAGAAGATCAGCAGGATGACCGTCACGGGCGGGGAGAAGTTACTGCATTCTGGGAAGGAAGGAAGGAAGGAAGGAAGGAAGGAAGGAAGGAAGGAAGGAAGGAAGGAAGGAAGGAGAGAGAGAGGGAGAGGAGGAAGGAAGAAAGGAAGGAGAGAGAGAGAGAAAGGAGAGGAAGAAGGAAGGGAGGGGAGGAAGAGAGAGAGGAAGGAGAGGAAGAAAGAAGGAAGGAAGGAGAGGGGGAAGAAAGGAGGGGAAGAAGGAGAAGAGGAAGGAAACAAGGAAGGAAGGAGAGGGGGAAGGAAGGAAGGAGAGGAGGAAGGAAAAATTAAGTTTCAATTCAGAACAATCACATTCACGAGTCTTTTTGGAATAATTAGCCAGTCCAAATAAAAGGGAACTGTGAGGTAGAATTCAAAACTGACTTGCACATGGTTGGAAGCAAATACAAAAAAGCCTGCATTCACAGAAGGCCCCAAAACATTGTACAATATACTGGAGGGATAGGCATGTTGAATGGGGAGTCATAGATAATGGAAATATATTACATATGTTGACCAGACACTTTTAAGAGATTCCTACTGGTCTGGGAGGGTGACATTCCTATTTTAGGGCTTCAAAAACTTCCTTCAATTTAAGGTGGACTCCTGAAAACTTCAGGAAGCATTTTTGACTTCCTAATCGAGTCTTTCTCAACCTCGGCAACTTGGACTTCAACTCCCAATATTCTCCAGCCAGGGGGATTCTGGGAGTTGAAGTCCACTTGTCTTCAAGCTGACATAGTTGAGAAACCTTGTCCTAATCTAACCTTACAGCCTGGGATTTGCTAGTGGCTTCCTATCCAACTAATAATCAGGCCTGACCCAGCTAATTCCTACTAAGGCGAGATAAGGCCAGCCATCTGCTGAGATGGAATTTGAGGAATTATATTTTCATGGCTGCCTGCAAAATATCCGAGAAAGCAGGCTGGCCATCTCCGACCATCATGTTGAACAGGACATGGGGGTTTAACCCTTGCAATTCCAGCGCCATATGTGTGCACCCTGATACTGCAAAATGTAACACAGACAGGTTGTGTTGTCTCCCGCAGCACGATCTAAGCATCGCCCACGCTGCACTCCCATGCATAATTCAAAAAGGCAATTATTTTGAAAACAAAACTCCCCAAAACATCGGTCGGTTGGAAGATGTCACCCGAGCACTCAACAAAATGCTCTTTTGGAAACGCGCCAAGCAGTTTTCTTCAGGAAGCAAAATAATGTGGATATCTCCCAAGACTCCCATCGTTTGAACACTCAACGGCCAATTTTCAATTTTCAGGCTTCTCAACCGTTGGGCATCTAAATTTTCACAAAATAGTCTTCTCCCAGAAAATCGAACTACCTTAAAATTTCTTGCCTTAAGATCCATTTTCCAAAACTACTCCAGCTCTGGAGATAAGCTTGAAAAAGACAATGGCTCTTGCCAGTAGAGTGAGAAGGTCCCTTATTTAATCATATTAGACCCCAAATTTTAATTATTTGTTTTGGAATTATTTCTCTTTGTAAGGCATGATTTGGCTTTGGTACAGCTTTAATCATTCTGGTGCAGTTTCCCCTGCTTTTTATTGATGGATGCCACCGTCAAGTAAAGGGCTACTTAAAATCCTTCCACGGTTTCAGATTTGCGCCATGGTTCCTTTACGGTCTGACGGCACCTGAACCGTTCTACTAGACGAAGCGATTTAGGCGTGCTTAAAATAAATCAGTCATAGGCCATATGCTCGCTTACCAATCCACTGATCTCGGACGCAGGAAAAGAACTGAAATCCACAGAGGATGAGGGCATGAGCTGAAATTAGAGCTATGTACATCTGGAAAAAAAGGGAAGGTGCAGGCATCAATCTTCGGAAGGCACATTCTTCAACGCGTTCGCGTGTTTCCTTCCTTTATTTCTCATCTATCTTCATTTATTTCAGGGGTGTCAAACTCGATTTTATTAAGGGCCGCATCAGGGTTGTGTTTGACCTCGGGTGGGCATGGCCAAGGTGGGTGTGGGCGTGTCCAGCTCGACATTACTTGTTCTGGCTCCGTTTTCAGCTGTGACGGCCTCCTGCAGCCCTCTACCAGTGAAAACAGAGCCGGGGGGCGGGGCATGTGGCCTCCCTGAGCTCCGTTTTTCCTGGCAGATGGCTGGAGGCCGCTAACGGAGCCCGGGCGGGCCGCATGCAGCCCTCCCAAGCTCTGTTTTTGCTGGCAGAGGCACCGCGGACCGGTTCCTTCGCTGTTTCCAGGGCAGCCCCCATGGGCCAGATCTAAGCACCCCACAGGCCTTAACTTTGACACCCCTGATTTAATTTCTCCATTTTGGGAGCTGTCTGATTCCACAATGATTTGAGGCAGCTTAGAACAAAAATTAAATGCCAACTATGCCTATCAAAAATAAAATAAAACAAAAGGAACAGAGCTAATCAGAAGACGCCCCTCCTCCCCCTCCCAAGTTCAAACAGCAAAATGTAAAAGCTCAGCCTCTATTTCTAACCCAAGGAAGATGTGAGAAAAAGCCAAAAGGGTGCAGAGATAGAACATCTTTCACAAGGCAGGCACCATTCACCGAGGAGGTGAAGTCGGCATTAAAACGCCACCAATATTCTGACTTGCAAATTTAAATGTTCCGCTAACGCTCTTCCCTCTTCCCCGATTTGAGACAAACGAAATCACAATGCCTACTCACAGTAAAAAGCACAAAAAACCTCTGGTTCCTTTCCCCTACGCAGTTGTTAACCCACGGACAGTGATGATCCATCTTCCGAATGCATCGTTTGCAAATACTGATGGGATTTAAAAGGGGGGGAAAAAACGTTATGTGCATTTTGGAGTTGAAAGTATAGAACCCAGCAAAGAACCCGTTTCTTTGAAAATCCAAGATATCTGCATACAGCAAACAAGCCAGATCTATTTCCTTTTTAAGGAACCGGACAAAACTTTATTAATTTATATTTCGTATTTCTGAACCGCTCATCTCCCTCTAGGAGAAACGCTGGAAAATAGATCAGGTCTGTATCGTATCAGGGTATTTCTGATAGGAGTGAAGATTGTAGCGTGGCAGCTGGCCACAAGACTTCTTTGGAACAAGGCTGAAGTGGAGAATCCAAGAACTTTGCTTGGCTCCCAAGTGGTAGAGAGTCAGGAAGAAGAGCTTGATGGGGATAAGGAAGGACCCTCAACTGGACAAAAAGGGGGTGAAGTATTTTTTTTTAAAGTTCTGAGAAATGAGATAACGTTCAGAAGTGGCTCAGGCAAATGCCTCCTTAATTCGCTGAAGTATCAAAAGGAAGAGGAGATACAGTTCACTCACAGAATCAAAGAACTGGACCTTGGAGGTCAAACATCTATGGAGATTCTCAACCATCCAAGTCATGGTTGTCACAAAGATGCCTTCCAAAATGCAACTGGACTTTCTTGGGGGGGGGGGTTCTCCTTGAAAGCACTTCGCTTCTCAACCAAGAAGCTTCTTCAGTTCTCAAAGTGGATGGGATGAGAAGCAAAAGTGAAGTAAAGACAAGGACAGAGAAAGCTTGAACAGCATTCTTTAAAATGAAAAAGGTCTTCTGCAGTCACAACATACGCCTAAGACTGAAAATCAGGCTTGTCAGATGTTACACCTTTTCTATCCTGCTCTACGGAGTGGAGAGTTGGTCTCAAAGACAAATTCCTTGTGCGTCCAATCACACTTGGCCAATAAAGAATTCTATTCTATTCTATTCTCTCAATCAAAGTAGCTTTAGTCTTCCTGCAGAGTCAATTAACATTGGGGGGGTGGGGGTGGGGCTGCCAGACTGGGGCAGGGTTGGGAGGAGAGGCAGCATTTTCATCTGTCTTTCAAAAAGGGCACTCGTGTAGTTGAGTCTGGAAAAAGAGCCTGCTTTATGAAGGCCAACAAGCCCTCTACTGCCTTTTTCGGAGGCACCGAGGACTCCCTGCCTCCCCCAGCCTCCCACATTTGTAGGAATCCTCCGTTTCAAACGGTCGGGGGCTGAAGGGGAGGGGGGGCTGAGCCAAACCGAAGCAGCAGCTGCGCTCAAGAAGGCAGCACCTAGGAAACAGCCCCCTCGTGCTCTCTTGCTGAGCACAAAGGAGAGAGAGAGAGAGAGAGAAGAGCTTGGAACAGGAATGACCCTGATCCATACTTCTGGGACTGCAGAAGCCACTGAAAACATGGGGGAGCAGTCTGTTTTGAGAAATGACTCCCAGGGAAAAAAGCTATTATGGGTCAGGGAAACAGGGCAAGGGTTTAAAACAGTGCTTGGGGCAAGGACCACCCATCACTATCAATCAATCAATCAGAACAGAATTATGGAGAACTGAAGAAGCTTCTTGGATGAGAAGTGAAACGACTTTCAAAGAAAAAGTTCAGCTGCCTTTGGGGGGAAAAAAAGCATCTTTGGGATAACCATGACCTGGACGATTGAGAAGCTCCACGCTAGGAGAGAAGCTCCTTTGAAAGAAGACTAGGCTGATGGGAGCTCAGGGTAGCAATGGTGAAAGGAATTCACACCTCAGTTCTAACCGGATGGAGAGGATAGCAATAGCAATAGCTGTTGTGGCCCGCCAGCAGCCTGCGCGGATCGTGGCTGATCCTGACGACGAGGAGGCTGGTGTGGTGTCGCTCCAGCAGCCTGCGCAGCCTGTGCTCACATCAGTCAATGAGGAGGCCGAAGAGGATGTGGTGCCAGAGGCAGAGACTCAGCCAGGGCCTTCAGAACCTCCAGAGGCTCCTTCAAGTGGAGAGAACGAAGTGGAGGAGCCAATTCTCAATGCTCGAGCACGCAGGGCTGCCAAAAGGCAGGAGTGGCTACTCAGGAGGAGGAGGTCTCCTCGAGAGTAAGGCTTGAGGATAATTGGCCACTCCCTTAGCCTATTTAAGTTGCACGCGGTTAGTAAGTTTCTTGCTGGAAACAATTTGCAATTATAAGAGCATTTTTGGAAAAGTCTTATCGTATTTTGTTTTCTGGGCTGGTTGCCAACCTTTGCCGGACTTTGGTTTATTCTTGCTACTTAATAAATTTGATAAGGACCATTGGTGTGTGTCAATATCCTCGGAAATCCGGAGCTGGGGCAGAACAATAGTCTTTAGACTTATATACCGCTTCACAGTGCTTTACAGCCCTCTCTTAAGCGATTTACAGAGTCAGCCTATTGCCCCCAATAATCTGGGTCCTCATTTTACTGATCTCGGAAGGGTGGAAGGCTGAGTCAACCTTGAGCCTGGTGAGATTCGAACTGCCAAATTGCAGGCAGCCGGCAGTCAGCAGAAGTAGCCTGCAGTACTGCTCTCTAACCACTGCACCACAAGATCCTCAAGTTATGTACTATATGCTGGTTTCAGAGCAAATCAAGGGCAGCGTGACAGATACCTGCAGTGATGGGCACGTTCTGGCTTCACGCTGCAACATTTGGGGCACTTGTAGATGACCTCCCCTGGTTTCAGCTGCAAACTCTCCATGTATTCTTTTGTAGCATTTCCTTTGGGGACAGCACCCTAAAAAGCCAGAAAGACAGAGCTCAGTGATTCAGGAGGAGGCTACTTATTTACAGTGGACTCCTCGATCTCATGTTCTCCAAATAGGCCGTCCTTCAGTTCCCAAAATCCCCAAGGCTGCATTGGCTATGGGATTCGGAATAGGACAACTCACCATGGCCAACGTACTACATCCAACTCACTGTTGCCAATTCAGCATGGACAACTCACTATGGGCAACTTGCGTTGGCCAACTTGCCTTCGCCGACCCGCCACAGGACAATTCAACCAATATATTTATTTAAAATAATTTTTAAAATATTGTAATCATTGTCATTCAGATATCATTTTGTCCCTCCTTTTGCATCCTTCCTTCAATGATTCTATTCCACCATTTCTTCAATATTATGTAAGTTTTGTTCCGTGAGTTGGCCATGGCAAATTATCCCCAAGCAAGTTGGCCATAGCAAACTGTCCCCTGGTGAGTTGGCCATGGCGTGTTGGCTGCAGCGACTTGTCCTAGACCGGTGGGATTATAGGAAGTGTGACTCCACGTGCTCAAGAAAGACTCCTCTGCGTGGCATCCAAAACTGTTGGTCTCCATACTCACTGGATCTGTCAGCATGGTTCTTAGGTGAGAAGACAACGCCAGCACAGCCAAGCCGTTGAAGAGGACTCCGTTGACCAGGGAGTACCAGAAGTCTTTGGAAGGCAGCAGCATGACGAAGGTGACCACGAAGTCGGCGTAGACCACCAGAAGCCAGGTCATCACTGCGCAGACCATCCCGCAGCTGTCGCGGATGAACCAAAGGCGATCTCCCGCTTCGCACTCGGATGACGACGAATCGTAGCAGTCGTTCTCGGCAAGAAGTGGATGGTGCTCAACTTCACGCAACCTGTGCCCGGATGACTGCATGGTTTTCCAGACTGGCCCTGTGGGAAAATAACCAGCGAGTAGCTGTGCACCAAGGCTCCTAGACGGCACATCTTCCGTTGTCAAGGGATGGCGAACAGTCCATCCTGTTCTAATTCAAACGAGGCAAGTCAAAAGCCATAAGGAAGGACTCCAGAATTGATGTACCCAAGGTTGATCTCAACAGACTCAGAAGGCCAAATATTTAAGATCCTACGGGTCAATCAGGTTTTTTTTTCCCCCGGCATTATTCTGGCTGCCTAGAAGAACTTCTAGAAGTTCTCAAGTCAGCTGTTGAAATATAAATAAAATTAAAACCCTGTTGGAGCTCAGAGTTGAAACGAGGGGTCTGTGATGTTCTCTGAACTTGCCTGTTTTCTCGCAGACATCTCCTTACCCAATTAAATAACATAATCAGTGCTAGAAGGGAGAGAGGTGAAGAGGAGGGAGGAGGAAGAGAAGGCGGGGGAGATGACTGTGGGGTCCTTGGTGTTCGCTGAGCTTGGTTGCTTTCTTGCAGATGTTTCCTTACCTAATTAAAAACATAATCAGTGCTAGAAGGGAGAGAGGTGAAGAGGAGGAGGAGGAGGAGATTGTGGTGCCCTTGATGCTTGATTGTTTTCTTGCAGATGTTTCGTTACTCAAAATAGGTAACATCATCACTGACCATCCAAGCTCAGAGAGCACCAAGGACCCCATAAAATTAAAATCTTCCTCTCTTTTCACGCCGCTTTCGTTCCTGGCAGTTCTTTCTTGAGACTGGCTTCTCAAGTGTAAAACCTTGGAGGAGGAACCTTACAAGAGGAGGCTCAATCAATCCTGACGGACTCATTGTTGGACTTCAGTGGCTTAATGCTGTCCTTGTAGAAAGTTTGAATACCTTTAGCCGTACTAAATGAGACGGCCCTTTCGATTAATTACTTTCATGTAGGAATTCTACCTAGGATTTATTTATTTTTTTTTTGAAAATTCAGCCGCTGGGGAATAAAAAGTTCTGCTTTGGATCCATCTCTTGGCCCTCCTTTGCCTGGTCCTCCTCCTCTTTTCCTTGCGCATGGAAGACTTCTGGGGAACATTTGCAAAACCCCCATTGGGTGTCTTGAGTGAAGTTCTAAAGAGCTTTGTGAAGCCACAAACGGCCTCATTAAATCACGGCTCGCTTGGGAAAGGAAGGAGTTCCCAGGGAGCGCCCCACGATTCAGACGGGAAATCAAAGTATGAGGAACAGCTGCAGTGTTAAGTCTCTCAAATGCCGAGAATGGCAAGAAATCCTAGAGACCCTTTTCATCCTAAAATCCCTATTGATTCAGTGCTATTACCGTCGATGGCGAAGGGCAGCGCTGAAAGCTTGTTATTGATTTGATGATATCCGAGCAGATGCTTCTCAGTTTCCCCACAAATGGCAGCTTCCTTCTCCTTACAAACCAGCACACATGAACACAGTTTTAAAGGTGCATTGACCAATGTGTAATTATCCTTGATTTATCATCAATCAAGGCGGGATTTCTGGGCCATGCAAACTCAACGAAAGGAGGACAGAAGGAAGGCGGGATTGATTCTACCTCCTCTTCCTCACTGTTGTTATTCACAGGGGACAAAGGTCCTGTGAAGAGGTTCAGCCTTAACCTGATGATAGTAAGGTAAAGGTTCCCCTCGCACATACGTGCTAGTCGTTCCCGACTCTAGGGGGCGGTGCTCATCTCCGTTTCTAAGCCGAAGAGCCAGCGCTGTCTGAAGACGTCTCCGTGTTCATGTGGCTGGCATGACTCAATGCCAAAGGCGCACGGAACGCTGTTCCCTTGCAACCAAAGGTGGTCCCTATTTTTCTACTTGCATTTTTTACATGCTTTCCAACTGTTAAGATTGGCAGAAGCTGGGACAAGTGACGGGAGCTCACCCCGTTACGTGGTGCTAAGGATTCGAACCGCTGAACTGCCGACCTTTCGATCGACAAGCTCAGCGTCTTAACCACTGAGCCACCGCGTCCCTCTGATAGTAATTACCCCTCAATTATTTTTTTCTTCTTTTCAAGATACTCAGAGACTGTCTGGCCAAGTCCCTGCACATTTGCTGGCGAGGTTTTTCAAAAGCAGTTTGTCATTGCCTCCTTCCTAGAGCTGAGATTGAGGGACTGGCCCAAGCTGAGCCAGGAGATTTGGCACCTAAGGCAAAACTAGAACTCACACAGTTTTGCAGCCTGGTCCCTTCACCACTACCCTGAACTGGCTCTGGTCTGTAGCAAATTCTTCTTTCACTGATACTGGTGAAGGAATCAGGGATCCACTCAGAACCACCCCAATGCTTGCGATCCTTAGGAATCCAGCTGACAAATAGCATTCTGCAGCAGCACAAGATTCTAATCTTGCCTTTGGAAAATAGTCATCCACACAACATCCTAAGAAGGACTTGATTACTGTTAAGATTAAAAAAAACAAAACAAAGCCAGATGAGGGAAACAAAAACCTTCATTTTTGGCAAAGGGTTCAGATCTCAATCCACGAAGCAATTCTGCAGCAAAAACCTGGTTTTGCTTTTTTTTCAAAGATGCTGTGTAAGTTAAAAGACTGGCTGTAGGCGGGGGGGTGGGGGGGGGAAGACAGCATAAAGGAGGTTGACTTGTTGAAAATCCCAAAAATGTGATCAAACATTAGTCTGGGGTGGAGGGGAATCACTCCAATCTCAGCTGATGCACAGAGCCTTTGCATAAAAAGGATCTCTTTCAAACCACAAATATTTTAGACAGGGCTCGACTGTTTTGCAGCTTTACAAAATTGCCTATATTCCTTTTTGTCCAACCTGCAACCTTCAAGCATACTGCATTGCAGTTTGTGCGTGTATCTTAGCCAGCATCCTCTTAGCCAAGACCAAAGAGAGTTTGATCTTGGAGAAGGATGGCAGATGAAACGCTTCTAACTTGGGACGTCAAGTCTAGATTTCCCAGTCACGAGAAATATCAAATAAACAGGTTTTGCATTCGCTGCAGAAAGGCAATAACTACACACGGGAACCGATGAGAGGGAAGTCAACAGTAAGATGCCGCAATGATTTAAAACATGAACCGTACCAAAAGCTGAGAAAAAATGTCCATCAAATACTCAGCCTATGAATAATGGGAACTCTTAATGAAAATACATCTCCCCCCCAAAAAAAGAAGCTGCAATTTAAAAAGAAAACAGCCTAGTCATGTGTGTGTGGCAACTGGCCACGAATCTCTAGCGGTGCTTCCAGTTTGAAACGTTATCTATCAATCTCACTTCCCTAAATTTGACGGAAAAGACCCACCTCCGTGGCTTTCTAATTGAACAGTGGAGGCCAGTTTACAAACTTCACGCGTTTTGTCTCTGCCTACTATCCGAAGAAAGCTTCGTGAACGGGAAGCTGGGTAAGCGGTGTGGAGGTCGGTGCCTGTAGGTGTTTGTAAGGGCTAGGGGGGAAAAAATGATACATACCTGTAAGGGACAACGGTTAGTCGGACATCTTGCTGTTCCTTTGGGCTTCTACGATGCACACGCGGTCATATCAGGTGTGACCTATCCGGGCATAAATAGAAGTGCGTGTTGGTCACAATCAGTACAGCCCGAGAGAAAACCCAAGTGAAGCATCACCTGGAAAGGGCAGAACATCTGCTGGACGTGACAGCAGGTGCTCCCTGGAGAAGCACTTTTGACCTCTGGGCTCACTTGTCAAGTTCAAACATCTCCCTTTCTCTGGATTAAATCCTGAAATCTCTAAGGGAAAAGGAGAGAGAGAGAGAGAGAGAGAGAGAGAGAGAGAGTCATGGCAAGAGGCTTTTGATTCTTCGGAAGAAGGAAGATTGTGGTTAATGGGCAGTGTTATCCTCCACCAGCTGTTTCGGGAAGTGTCAAATTCAGACCATCTGCCCTGCTCTCTTGCTGGCCAGCTGTCTGCAGGCCGTTGCCGTATTCCAGAAGGTTACGACCCATCTGTGAAGGCAGAATGCACGCTGTCCGGGGGCTGCTTGAAACTTGCAACTGATGCAGAACAAGGTAACCAGGATGACTCGGAAACCATTTTTGCCAGGGTTTAAAAACTTCTATTTTAGGTATTATTCACCCAGTTGGTTGAAGTTGGTTTTTTTAAAGGCTTGGGACTTGGGTCCCTAAAGGTTGTTTCTATTTTACCAGTATGAAATACATTCTTCTCTGGGTAAGGTTAGATATTTCTTTCCATTTGTGGTCATTCCCCCCCCCGCCCTTCCCCAAAGTTACTTTGTCAGTCACCGCTTCCGTCAGTTTTAGTCGCTCTGCTATTATTTCATCTCCCATGCTTCTAACTAAACTGCAAATTAATTTCACTTCTAAGTTATTTTAGCGTTTATGTTTTTACCATTTTATTTCTTTCTCTTGGTCTACTTTTAGAGCCGCGTTCCCCAACGTTTCTGCGTTGGTGGCCCGGCGTGGGGGGTGCAGTAGAGCGCTGTGGGCCACAGGTTGGGGCCCCTGATTTAGAGCAGTGTTTCTCAACCTTGGTAGCTTGAAGATGGGTGGACTTCAACTCCCAGAATCCCCCAGCCAGCGCTGCTCCACCCATCTTCAAGCTACCAAGGTTGAGAAACACTGCTTTAGAGGATAGCTGTGGGTTCTGGTATATCGATTCTTGCTCTCAATCTTTTTAATTTGATTTACTTTTATTTTAAACAGGAAAACCTAAAGCAACTTAAAAAAGCAGGGGGACACAGTAGCCGTTACATAGCCAAACGACCAGGGTCTACAGGCAAAAGGACGGACACCAGCAAATCCGAGAGAAATTGCTAACGAAACGCAAAATCATAATGAGCGGAAAGACGAAAGGCTCCCCCCACCAATAACTCTGTTGACTTCTCTCTCAACAGCCCAGAACGCAAACAAAAAACTCAAGAGCACGGCGATAACGTCAACCAGAGTGAATAATTCAAAAGTACAGAATGTGAAGTAACTTCGGGCATCTCGTAAATGAGCCGATCCACGTTAAGAGCGGGGACTTTCCCAGAACCGAGTCAAGCCGTGCCTTCAAATAATTCGACCGACTCTAGTTGTAAGCGAAAAGCAGGGAAGGAAAGGACAAGGGGAAATAAAAGACCATCCGTCTAAAATATATTTTGTAGAGAAATAAGAATATAAAAATCCACCGATTCCAGGGTCCCAGGGACAAAGCATCCACCCCAATGATGCAAAATTGTCGGTCTACAGTCCAGATACCGTTTCAAAGATTTTTTTGGGGGGGAAACGGATGCTCCTTTGAGTTGACATACCCTGTCTTGGAGAAAACCAACTCCAGTCAGTCTTTCATTGTCCAGGAAAAGCAGCAGCTGCAGGAGATTCAGCCGGCTTCTAAGCGCCCAATTAAAACCTCCTCTTGATTATTTATTCCAAGTATTACACGTCCAAGGTCACAGTTGCTCCGCTCCCGTTTAACGGTGAACTTGCCTGTAACTGAATATTCCGAGCCATCCTAAAGTTACATATTTTTCCAGGGCTGCGAGGGGACCAGCTGTGACTGAAGCAAACCTACCCTCTGCCTTAAAGCTACCTTCTGCTTTTTATCCCCTTCTTTTTTCTTTGAGTTTCCGAGTTGCAACATACCTACAATCGGCTCTTTGAGCCAGTCCCCTTCCGCCTGACAAATTCGGAAGATATTCTAGGCGTGAAGATGGAAAGGGGACGGAGAGATCTGCAGGCCACCCAAGGCCTGCCCCAGCCACGTCATGGGGCATGGCGGGGTGTGTGTGTGTGTATGTGTGTGTGTGTTACATTCTGGCAGTTGGGCTCCTGCTCTCCAGATCTGGGATCTGCCCCAGGTCCACAGGCGTTCCCATCAGCAGGGCTTTGTGAAGTTCTGATGTCACAGAGATCTCCCCAGGTCTCTGTGAGCAGAGCACGCAAGGTAACAACTCTGTTGAAGGAGGGAGAGAGGCTCACAGGTAAAGAAAGTCCAGAAGCACATCAAGAACAGGGCGGAGGCATTCGTGCGAATCTGAAGCCAAACCTTTGAAACTGGCGACCAACTTCACCACTCACACATGGGAAGATCAAGCGAGTGTATATTTTGTTGAGTGTTATGGTAGCCCCAGAAGGATTACTTTCCTTTCTGCAGTAACACACACGTGTGTTATGCGGAAAAATAACACGTGTGTTATGTGTGCATGGAAAGGAAAGGAAAGGAAAGGAAAGGGAAAGGAAAGGAAAGGAAAGGAAAGGAAAGGAAAGGAAAGGAAAGGAAAGCAGTCCTCCTGAGCTACTATAACACTCGGCAAAACATACACTTGTTTAATCTCCCGTGTGTTACCGTGTGTGTTGCCTCCAGAAGTTGTGGGTGCTCCATCATTAGAGGTTTTTAAGAAGAGACCAGACAACCGTTTGTCTGAAATGGTAGAGGGTTTCCTGCTCTAGCAGGGGGTTGGACTAGAAGACCTCCGAGGTCCCTTCCAACGCTGTCATTCTATTGATGTGGACTTTGGAGATTCAAGACAAACAGGAGTCATATTTTCATCCTACTAGCAACTGACCAGCAATGAGACAAAGTAAAAACCGAACAGCCAGGCAAACTATGGTACGTTTCACGTTTTGCTGATGACATCTGTGCTGTAACTCAGTTTTGTTCTTTTTTAAGCTATAACACTTGATTGTCCACGTTATTTTCCTCTCTCCTCGTTCTTCTTAAGACCGAAGTGAACATTTTATCTGTTTTTTTAAAACCTTCCATTTAGCAGTTCCATTAGTTTAATCTCTCCCCAGGGGCATCAATTTTGATCTGCTCTCAAAGTTTTGCAATTCATCCTTCGGCTGCTGGATCTACTGGCCAAAATTGATATGCAGATGACCGGCTACTGAAGTCAGCTGATGGGTTAGACATCTCTTTCATTCAATTATTTGACGCTTACTGAGGCAGGATCTCCACTAATGACCTCCAGCGTCTTTTAGAGTCATCCAATTAGCGTTGTTTTGTAATAATTGTACAGTAGCCAATTATTGCATTGGAAGAAATAATGTAAGGTTTTGCCAGGCGACGAGAAAGCCTACCCATTCTATTGTGTGTCACTTCCTGAACGCACTTGGGAGGCATGCTCTAATGCAGTATCAGACGATGCTTTGCCTGCAAAATGTCTCAGTTTCAGTTCGCTTTTTTTTCTTCTAAAAGGAAATCTAAAAAAAACCAAAAACCCAGAAACTAATGCTAGATTTTCCCACGCCCTAAGAAAGCATTCTAGTTAGAAAGGATAATAGTCTAGGACTCTAGAAGTTACACTAAAGTCCTGAACTAGCTCAAGACAATCGGTTTCACATTATTCTCTAGAAGTATCACCGCTAAGAGCTTTGGGTAGACTTCAATCTCAGATTTACAGCTGGAAATACTGGATTTTTGAGGAGTTGAAGCTGCCAAGGTTGAGAAACCCTGAGCAAAACAGGGAAATCCTGCCTTGAATGAAGCAGGTCAGATAAGCATGATGAAAAAGTCTCGGGTCTATCTCGGGGTTGGACTAGATGACCTCCAAGGTCCCTTCCCACACTGTTATAATATGTCCTATTGTGAGAGATGAGGAAACTCCCCCCCCTCACCCAGATGGGGATTGGGACCCCATGTCCCAAAACTCCAGCAACTCATCCCGGGAGGCCACAGCCCCCCTAGGAGGACAGGGCTCCAATACCCATCATTCCCAGCCAGGATTCCAAAGAGGAAGGCGAGAGATGGGAGTCCAACCTGCCTTGGAGGGCACCCAGCTGGGAAAACTCCCATCAGCTCTTTCCCCTTCCAAAATTGGGATGGGCCTCAAGTCCCATAATCCCCCACCCCCACGGCTGGGGATTATGGGAGGTGAGGTCCAGGGCAGGAGAGAGGAGGAAGGGGCAGCATCTGGCAGAGGCTGGAAAGGGGCGGGGCCGCTTGGAACGGGAGAGCAGCTGGGGTGGGCGGGGCCACCCGGCGGGGCGGGGCCAGATGGGCGGGGCTTCGCTATGCCCCGCCCTCTCGCCCACTGACAGACTTACCTCGCCCCGGTTCCTTCAGGGTTTTGCCTCGCACGACCCCGGCTGATGACGATGGCGGCGGTCCCGGCCCATCCCGGATGGAGGGGCCCGTCCCCGCAAGCCCCGCCGGCTGAGGAGGATCCGTCGCCGCGGAGGCACCGCCGAGCGAGCGAGCTCCAGAAGCAGCACGGCGTCCCGCGCATGCGCCCCGTCACGCGCTTTTGGCCCGGCCCTCAGGAGGGCAAGGGGGGACGTCCGCGCATGCGTTCAGAGGACTGGGGGAGGGTTTGCCCCCAAGGGGATAGAGGGAGGAGCGATAAAATCCGGGATTCGCGACGACTTCGTGGAGAGTGGGGGACGGCGAAGGAAACTTCCCCGCTTCTCTCGTTTTGCGGATCGAGCGGAGTGGGTGGTGGTGGGAAATAAAACGCGCGTGATCCCCGCTGGCCGGAGAGAAGGAACAAGAGTGACGTTGACACGCCCGCTTGCTCCGCAAATGGCGGCCGTCAAATGACATCGGAAGTGACGTTTGCGTAAGCGTGCCTCCTTATGCCTCCAACTCTAGGGTGTTCTACTTCGGCCTCGGCCGGGTTCGCGCCTGCGCAGAACGCACGCTGCCTCTCCTGCCCTTCCTTGCAGGGTTGCTGCAATTCATCAGTCCTGCAACTGCGCTGGACGGCGGCGCTTCTCCCCCCTCCCTCCCTTTTCCCTCGCTTTTGCAATGCCTCTGGGCATGTGCAGAAAGCCTTGGGCTCCGTTCTTCCTCGCAGACCTTCCAGTCGATCCACACCACCCTCCCTGCTTGCGAATAATGCATTTTATATAATATGCTTCTTAGCAAACTTAGGACAACCTCGCAGGATAGTTGTGCACGGAGCATGCCGCGGTGGGACGGTGCAATAAAGGAACCGCGTGCAATTCTCATTGCAAGCTGCAAACTTAGTTCACTACTCGATGGTTACGGGGTTTCCCTTTAACTGTGCATGCTGGTGATTGACAGCCAATAAATGCAATTGCTATCCTTATTACAATTGCAACAACAATAATAATTTCATCCATGTTTGCGCAGCCTAAATAAAATTCTTTATTGGCCAAGTGTGAGTGGACAGACGAGGAATTTGTCTCCGGTGCATAAACTCTCAATGTGTATACAAGCAACAAGCGATAAATCATGATCATAATCGTCATAAAATACACCATAAATCATAAGATACAACGCTTAGTCATAAAATACTAAATAAGCAATCAATATAAATCATACTAGGATAAATCCTTCGGCTTCCGTTTTATTCTCCTTTCTATCGATGAAAAATATTGATACTCTATATTCTCTTGCCACCTTAGAATGCAAACTGTCAAGAAAGAGTGAATTGCCTTAAAATCTGAGAGTTAATCTGAAGTACTCCAGCTTTTCGAGACACGCCTTGATCTGAAAGTGTTAGATGCGGATCTGATATATATTTTAGGCCACATATGAAAAATGCAAAGTGCCCTCGCGGCCCTCAAAATCTATGACTCTACTCCGGCAATGGGATTTCAGTAGCTTATTTCACATTTATTTCAGTGCTTTTCAAAGTTCAGAACTACCTTTGGACAAAATCCGACACTGGAAGTTTTTAAGATGTTGGATAACCATTTGTCTGAAGTGGTGTAGGGTTTCCTGCCTAAGCAGGGGGTTGGACTAGAAGACCTCCAAGGTCCCTTCCAACTCTGTTATTCTGTTCTGTTCTGTTCTGTTCTGTTCTGTTCTGTTCTGTTCCATTCCGTTCCGTTCCGTTCCGTTCCATTCCTCATTCTAATATTCTATTCTTCATTCCAATATTCTATTTTATTCTTTTTTTTTAAAAAAAATAATTTTTATTGAGTATTTTACATTTTAAAACCAAGCACACAATAGCAAAAGAAGTTGAGACAAAAACAAAAAACAAAAATACACGCACATCAGACGTTAAAATACAATACTAACAACAGATATATACAAAATATACAATTGTATATCCTATCCTACCCTACCCTACCCTACTCTAGTCTACTCAATTCTACTCCATTCCACTCCACTCCACTCCATTCCATTCCATTCCATATTTTCTTTATCCTATATCCTATCCTATCCTATCCTATCCTATCCTATCCTATCCTATCCTACTCTACTCTACTCTACTCTACTCTACTCTACTCTACTCTACTCTACTCTACTCTACTCAATTCTACTCCACTCCACTCCACTCCATATTTTCTTTGTTCTGTTCTGTTCTGTTCTGTTCTAAAATGAATAAATTTTAAAGACATTGACTTCTCTCTGTGGACTGAATATCCCAAATTTCTGTTGAAAAAAAAAATCTTACAAGAGTTGAATCCTGCACTCGTTTACTAGATCAAGTTCTGACTTTTTTTTTTTTTGAAAGGCACAAATTAGTTTTCTGTCTTTAAATCGGTTTGCCTGTGTCCACCAGAGAGCAGCCTTTGATTAAAATATGAAGCCCCTTTGCAAAAGGAAGCTTCCTAGCCATCCTTTCAGTTTCCTTCCTCCTAAAGCGGATCCACAGCTCATAAATGAACAATCTTTGTGGACTGTTCCATAGGGGTCAATTTAGGGACCCATATTTTTAACTATCGCTGTGCGTAAACTCTTCCCTGCATTTGGAAAGCTACCTTCTCAAGAAAAAAAAAGGATGCCCGCAAATCTTTTCTTGCATTTCCCCCCTTAGGGATACAGAAGATCTTTCCGTGCGAAGAAAACACGTTCCCATTTTGTGACAGCGAGAACATTTTGGAAAACCTCACGGTGTAGCTGAGACTGAAAATGCGCCATTTGTGTGTGTGTGTGTGTGTGGTTTTTTTTTGTTTTTTTTTTAAAGAAATGAAATATGGAAAATTATGCAGGGCTTGGAATCTGGAACCCTCCAAAATATCTGTTTGCCAAAGTGGTAGCGAAAGAAGAATGAGGGTGGACGGTGTCATCTGTTCAGGATGGATAACTTATTTATGGCCTGCCTTCTGACAATCTTTGTAAAACTTGGCACTCTGCAACTGATGGAGTCCAGCTGCAAGTCCAGCTGGGATCCAGATGTTTTCAAACATCTGTACATCTGTTGCTTTAGAATTGGGCTTCCATGGCACAGGGAGAAAATAAGAAGCGAAAATTAACTGTTGTGCTTCCCACCCACCCTTTTCTCTCTCTCTCTCTCCACCGAGTTGGCGAATGTTTGGG